ATAGAACCCATAAATTCATCCATCCCTTTAAGGTTCTTTGGAGGTAGTAAAGCAACTATAGCTTGTATTTTTGGTGGATCTACTACCAAACCCTCCTTACAAACAATACAACATAATAATGCACTTGAAGTAACTGTAAAGGTGCATTTTTTTTGAATTGAGATTAATACCATATTCTTGACAATTTTAAAAATATTTTTGTATGTGCTCCAAATGTTTAATTTGAATTCCATACATACTAAAATCATCAAAAAAAACTTATATGAAATAATTTAGATATTTTGCAAATGTATACATAATTATTCTTTGAAATGTAACATATACATTCTTCAATTTAAAAGACATTATTTGATATGCAAATGATCTCTATTTTGTAATAAAAAAATTTAAAGATGATCTTTTATAGTCATTCAAATTTGATCATAACCACTAAATCCATATAACATAGAATAAAGTTCGTGACTTGCAACAATTTCAAGTACTACATTAGTAAAATGTAATAGAAAAGGGTCTAATTTTATGAATTTAGTAAGTTTCTTGAAGTCAATACAAATTTAGAATTTACCATTTGTTTTAGGAATAATATTTATTAAAAATAGCCATTTTATTTGATCTAAAGGGCAAATAAATCATGTCTTAAATAATTTATTAATTTCTACTTTGACTTTAGTAGCTTAAATTAAATTCATTTTATATCTTGCTTTTTTAATTGATCACGTATTAAGTTCAAGTTCAAATTACTGTTCATAGCTATAAACAAGGACACCTTTTAAGCCCTCATAGCTCCATGCAAAAGTAACTTTGGATTTTTGTAATATATATATATATATATATATATATATTGTATTCTTCATCATTTTGTCTTTTTATTTTCATTGTTTTGGATTGAGCTTCAGTTCTTAGATTTACTTCATCTACATGTTCCTTCTCATTCATGGTCTGGCTAGTAATGGATTTTCTCTTGATTGTCTTTGTTGCTAGATTTGGATCCAATTCTCTTGTCTCTATTTTTTATTTGTAAAAATAATTAGGATATTTAATTATTTTTCCTTTTGATTATTTTATTGGTTTACAATTTTTATTTTTTTTATTATTTTCTTCTAAGGTTCATTATCATTTTATGTTATTGTTTCAGCCAAATTATAGTCATAACTGAATATCTCTTTTAAACTTGATAATTCAATACTAGCTACTAAATGTAATGAAGGTACTACTTGATAAATAGTTTGTTCTTTTTCATCAGTCAAACCATCTTTTGAGTCATAACATTCCAAATGTGTAAGTCGTTTTGATGGTAGAAGACATGGACAATTCTATGTACTGATTTTTTTTCTCTTTGTTTTTAAAAAAAATAGTTAAAGTATTATGAATCTAATCTTGCTTAGACTTTATTTATTTAAGCCATGGTCAACCTAATAACATAGAACAGCTTTGAATTATTGGCTTTTTTTTATAAATATTATTAAGATGTTATAAATAAATTATTCTACTTGTATTTGTAAGTCTCTAATGATATCCATTGATGTTACTTTTTGTTGATTAATCATTTTGATTGTAAAAGAAGTTGGTTCAATCCAATTATAACCTAATTTTTTATACTATTTATTTATGATGATATTTACTCCTCAAATTCTAACTAATAATAAATTTTGTATAATATGTTGCTTGATTTTACAATGATTATAGGCATTTTCATGTCATAATCTTCACTTATAACATTGTTAGCTTCTGATATGTTGAATTCAATATTGCATTTAAAAAGAGATGTCTCCATAACTTTCTTTTTATAATACAAAGATAACTCTAATAATTGTCATATTATTATTATTATTATTATTTTGTTGAGATTCAGCTCTTATAATCTTTTTAATTCTCTTATCTTTTCTTAATCCTTTTTCATCAATATTATTTTTAATCTTCTTTGACATTTCTTCTTCAATCCTTTTAAAAAGACTTATCTCTAATATGAAATTTTTTTTTTAAATAATTTTAATTTTTTAATCTCTCTAATTATATTCTTGCATATTCTTCTTTTATTCTTAGCATGTTTTTTTTTTAAAATCTAAATTAACCGATTGAAGTTGCTTCTTACTTCTATTTTCATTCTCTTCATCACTACTATTACTTGACTTTTCATTATCAATTATGTTTTTATCTCTTTACACTTAGGTCATTAAACAAACTTTCAAGGTTACTACATTTGTGGCTACAACCAACTTTTCTTGTCTTTATGCCTCCATGACTTCTTTTTGATGTTTAAGCCATGATTGACAATTCATTTTGTTGTGACCATTTTGATGGCAATAATAATACTCAAGATTACTACTTCTACATGCTTGATTTATATAATTCTTTCTTAATGAGTTTATATTTTTGTCCCTTTTATATCTTTCTTCATATCTTGGCCTTAGTCTATCTTTTTAATAATTAAATTTATACATTTTTTTATAAAGATATCTGTCTTATCTCCTATAATTATTATTTCTTGTAGGAGCCTCTTTCCTATAATACTAATGATTCGAAGATCTTTGATTCTTACCTTAATTCATAAGTAAATTGCTTCTTTTAGGTTTTTTTCTCTTTATGTTGTTTAACTATGGTTGTACTTGATTAACTACTAAACTTCTATCTTAGTGATGTCAATTATATATACAATTGTTGGTTTGATTAATATATGCTTTATAATTTTTACAAAATTTTAAATGACATTTAGAAGAAAAATGTCTTTTATTATTATATTTACAACAAACCACTCCTATTCTAAATTGCTTTGATTCAATGGTAGTTATACCATGAATATAAAATCAACTCTAATATAAATAAAAATTATAATATTTAAAATATGAAATCAATAAATACATATAAAATTATTTAAATTGATGATTTTTTAATTCATCTACTTTAATTTTATTCCTAATATTTTTAACTTATATTATTAACATAATTGAAGAAGCATGGAAATTATTATATGATTTTTTAGAACTTGAAATGGATAACATATTATACTTTGATAAGAATTGTGTTGTAATAGGAAATACAAATCAAAAAATGTAATAAAAATTCATAAAAAAATCTTATATCTAACTTCAAATGTAGTAATTCATTGAAAATAATATTATATAATATAATATAAATCTCATTAATTAATATATGCAATCAATATTGAGTAACTTATAAAGGTAAAAAGTTAATGTATTAGTCAAATTACATTCCAATTTAAACCAATACTTGCTAACAAATTTTTTACATAGAACCATACCTTTCCAACATGTTATTTTTTTATCTTAGTTATAAGTGAAGAATTTGATCTTAGTTATTAAAGTTGTCAAAATTAAAAAATCAAAATAATTACAAACCAAATTTTATATTACTTTTTAATATAAATTAAAAAAACTATAAAATCTTGATTTTTTAATATTTTAAAGATGTATAAATAAAAGAGATATTATAATTTATTTTTATTTTTAAATAATCAACAAAAAAATTAAGACAAATATACAAATTACTTTTTCTAAAATGTGTCATTAGTGATAGTTTTATTTATTTTTAATTTCAAAAATTTCTATTGAGTTTGTTCTTTTTTCTTATTACATTTGTTTTTAAACTTTGATTTTATCACAGTTTGCTTTAAAATTCATTTAACATATAAAAATTAACAAAACTAATATGGTTTTGAAGAAAGTAAGTATTTAATTAGATTTTTGTTCTTATCATCTTATATGTATGTACAACAAAGATTCTTACTTTTAGTAAATATTTTAGTTACATGAAGAAAGCATATTATATTGTTAAATCAAAAATCTATATTAATTTTTCTTAATTAATTCCTTTTATATTCTATAATTAGTAGTTTTTGTCTCTTATTGTTCCAATCTTGTATAAATAATCAACTATTTCTTCTTAATGATTTTAGTTAGCATATATTTTTAAAGATAAAAATTATAAGATTGTTTCAACTTTGTCTTGTTTGAACTTGATGTATTCTTGTCAAGTTTAAAATACAAAAAAATATTTTTTTTATTTTTAAAATAAAATAAAATAAACCAATTTCATTTCAATACAAAACAAATGTTAAAGAAGTTTGAATTAATGATTTGCACTTTAAATGCTTTTAGCAAGTTTTTATAAAATTTAAACATAAGAGAAAGGCTTTAGCCATACATTAAATAATGTCTCAGCAACAACTACAAATTAATCCATATTAATTTGTCCACGAAAATTAAAGAAAATAAATCCTTATCAACTACATATTTTCAAGTCAGAGATTTGTGACCCCTCACATATCCTAAATGGCGCTGCATTAGAATTGAGGAGGGGCCAATAATCAGTATTTATGTTTGTTTATTTATGTGTTTATTTATGTGTTTAGTTATGTGTTTAGTTATGTACATGCATACATACATTTATTCTAACAGATCAAATATTTGTGTTACGTCATTGAGAATCAACTTGTCATGAATTCTGAAAGCTTCGTATCTTCTATGAATTTAAAGCCTCACACCAATCAAAACCCTGCAACAGTCGTTAAAATTAACACCCACATGGAAAAAAACCATTTCAAAAGTCTATTTGAAAAAAAGAACAAACGACAAGTTTTTAGACAATGGGAGGAAAAAAGCACACACGACTATGAACTCATCAAGTTCCATGGGGCTGAAAATATGGGCGTTGATGAAGCTCGGCTGATTTCACGCCCCCCGTCGGTTCTCCTCATTCATGATTCCAAAGGTTTGCAATCTCTGGAACCTGCTCGCAACTTCCAGAAATCATCTCCCAGAATAGCGTTATTTTAAGAGGGGAGCTAAGCAGCGTTGATCTCGCTGACCGATGGGCTCGATGTCGACGGAGTGCAACAGCGCCCCTCTAACGTCGCAATTGACGTCGTCCACATCAAGATTTACTCAACACGAACATTAAACAAATTGTCGAAGTCTGGACGGGGACTCACTTTATTCTCCAAATTTTGTCGATGCTGTTCTAGCTTAGTCTACAGCTAGCGCCGCTTCTGCAAGTCTTCGATACCGTTGTAACAAATCCTAAGAAATGCTCTCGCCACCAACTTTAGTATGGAAGAGCAATTGCTTTCTACAGCACAACGCACGCTTAATAAAGATTTCGACGACAGTTGCAGCACAGTCGCGAACGAATGCAATCGCGGGACTCCTGGAGCAGGCCTTTTTTCGTTAGCTGCGAGAAGGAGGAGACGACGATGAGTTGTTGCTGGTTGTTGTTTTCCTCCCTCCCATGCAATCTCGATGGCAGTGAGGGAATATTTATTTGTCTGACAAATTTCTGCTTTCGTCAGGGCACATCGCCAACGCCCCATACTGAACGAGAGAAAACGGTCTTGTGCATGATGTGTCCGAGTTTAGGTCGCCAGCTACCGCGATCTTGAGCTGGGTCAAGCTGTATGGTGGCGACGGTTGTAGTTTTTTCGGGGCGAGGGACTGAGTTGAGGGAGGCGGACATATCCGAAGTGAGCAGAGACAGCGGGTTTCCTCGGGTTTCGTTTCGATTCATGTGTCGGTCGTGGGTGGGAATTTGAAACTGGATGGGAATTTGAAACTGGGTGGCAGGTTACCGTTGCTTGGTGTTTCTTCCTCACACTTCTTTAGTATTTTCCCTGCTTTTGGTGTGTATGGTCATAGAGACGAGGGGTGCTGGGTGATCAGGGTGTAGTGATGATATCGAGGAGAAGAAGACGGCGGCACACTGTCAAGCACTAAACATGATGGATTGTTGAGGGTCTGACACTTCGAAGTAGTGAATGCAATGGAAAGGATTAAGGACTTGTGTCCATACAGTTCGATTGGATAAGCAAAAGTGTGACGAACTGATTGGGACGGGAGCGACGCCGATTAGGTGGTTAGATTAAGAGAGGCCCGTATCGCGAAGTGCGCTTGAATAGAGAGCGAACTCAGAAATTCTTTAAGATGGAAGAAGTGAACTTGGACCTTCTCAACATCGAGCAGGAGGATGACAACTTGCTTGGAGCTAGCCCTTTTGTGCCCAGTTCTAATGAGTGTCTTCTATCGCCGCCAATGATATCTGCTGCATGTAGGAAAGTATCAACAGACGATTTGGAGAACCATTACGGTGAGTTCGCTTGCATTCGAGACTCTATATGCATTGAAATTTTGAAACCTGGGGCTAGAATGTCTAGAAAACTTGGCATCTCTCAAGCAACGTTGGGTGAATGACTTGGAGATTATGATTCCTGTCTCTACTTGCATAATTCGCCATGGTTTACTCGGAATACGCTTCTTCGGTTGCTTGTAGTTGTAGTATCATTTTGCGGTGCTTTTCCTCGTTGCTTTCTTATCCTCAGCATTGCTGTCATCAACTGCTACCATGATATCATATGCCAGATACCTTAATTCTTCAGCAATTTTTGAATGCAGGGAAAGAATTTGTAGGTGGTGCTTCAGCTGCCAGGGAGGCAGATGTGGGCGTCAAAACGGTGCCACTACCTTTCAAATTACCCTCTACTCCAACTTCTGTGCTATCTGATTTAAATATCAATGAGATGAACAAGCGCAGGGTTAAGACGGAGGAGCTACGGTCTCGAAAGGGCTGTGGTGCGAAAGGTGCGTTACAGTGGATTTTGACAGGCCATTCTTTTCAAGTTTGAGCACTAGGAGCATAGGAAAAATCCTTTCTTCGATGGAAAAAAATTCAGAAGCATGTGAACCACCGCTTGAATTCAACCTTTCCTAGATGATAAACTTGATTACCCATAAGAATCTTAAATTCCTTCTTAGATTGGAAGAGGCACGGATTCTTGCCTAACTCTGGCATTAGAGAACCTTGCTTGTGACACGCGAATTGAATTGCTTTCTCACAGACTCTTGAGACTGCTTATCTCCCACCCTTCTGAACCTCGTCATACTAAGATGAGACTTCGAGAACGTACGTTCTGGTTGTCATTCAATGTCCTTTTAACTGAAACATACTGAGCTACAACAAATGGATATATTATCGTACAAAAGAATCTAACCAGCAAAAGTTTTTCAGAGTCTATGCATCTCAATGGAATTGCTGAGAGTTGCCCCGTGGAACATCCTAAGCCCTTCACGAGTCAACTCAAAAGGAGCTACTGCGATATTGAGAACGAGCAATCAGCTGCGACTCCGGAAAAGGGATCCGAGGAGGCAATTCGCTCTCGAAAAAATAGGAATAGACGCTCTGTTACGCTGCGGAAATCTTTAGCTTGGGACCAGGCATTCTTTACAGATGAAGGTAGCCTCAAGTCGACTACCAAACAGCTCCATCTTCCATTTTTCTTCCTTCTTTTCTTCCTTCTTTCTATAATTTTAATTTGATAGGATTTCTGTTGTTGCTGCAGGCTGAATACAAATGATCTAGCTTTTTCCTAGTCTTCCATATCCATTAACAACGCTTTCGTTTCTAACTCATGTAGGTGTGCTGGACAATGATGAACTATTTGCCGTTGCATCCGACACCCGAGAAGCACTGACGATACCCGAGTTGGCTACTATTGGCAATGAGGAACAAAATTTAATCGCACCATTTGAATTAAGCACCACGCCAGTCAATGATCGAAGTCAACTAGAAGTGAGATCTCAAGTCCTACCGGAAAATTTGAGCATAAATTTTAGACTTGTGGTGTGTTCAATACCCGAGCAAGGTCAGTTTTACATATCCCTCTTGCTGGATAATGCTTGCCAATTTTCAAACTGTATGGTATCTATTTCGAAGGGCCAAAAGTGAGCTAATCTTGTAACTTCTACACAGACATCGTGGATACCCCCTCTGTTCGATCAGTGCGACAAGTTCCTTCTACAGGATCACAGATGTTTTCGAATGCCTATTCAAATGCGGCAGCAATTCCTCAAGGGTGCACTTCAATACCGTTGCCTAATCGCCTGTTAAGGACATTGAATCAACCCGGAGGTTCTGGTAGCCATCCGACTGAGCACGCCCCTAGGATCAATTCAGATGTAAGCGACTCAAATCAGGGTTCTGATCATCACTGTGCTTTACATCGGCAGTTTTCAGTTCTGAAACCCTTGATCCTCGGAGCTTCGCTTGCTCTAACGAAACGAAATGATTGTAACAGGGGATGAATAAGCCACGCAATGCAACAGCAAGTCCACAAAGAAGATTGATATCATCTAATCAATCAAGAATAGCTGCTTCACATCAAACAAGGATAGGCGCCTTGGAAAAGCAACCCCAGAACATGGATATTCAACCGCCAGATGAGATACATAAGATGCATGTAACCCCAGCGAAGCTACCTATGTTAACAAGGAGCATGTCTACACCCAGATTACAGGAATCTCCTTCTTCACTCTCACGCAAGGTGTCGTCTATGTCCAGAAAGGTTAAAGAGACGCTGGGGAAAGTGATGACAGGTACGCTTACCCTAGTGAGTGATAAATACATATCCATTTCAGTGATTCACTTCCTGACGCATTATCGTTGTAAAATACTATGAAACTTTTTACGATCAATTAGATGACAAGCTGCATCAAACATGACAGGCCGTGCGAGAAGAGTACCTAAAGAACCATCCTTGTCGCATGCTACTGTATTGAAGAAAGATACACTGGATTCAAATAGGTCTGTGGCAGAGCTTAATGTGCCCGATAGAATGAGGTCCAACATGCCATTGATATCGGTTAAGGTTAACGACGAGGTCTGTACTGTCGGTGAAGTTTTTCGACTTAGAGGACCCTCCCCATCCTCTAAAATAGATCAAAGGCAAGCTCCTAGTCTAATGAGGAGCAAGAGTACACACTCTGGAGTTCCAGGATTACCAAGAGCTGCCGATGCAGAAGTTGCAAGAGATACTGCACCCTCTCAATCTGTCGCATCCTCACAGTCTCTTCGAAAACCAAGTGGTTTGCGAAAGCCGTCACCCAAGCTAGGCTTTTTTGACACGGTGAGTTCATTTTACCGTGCTTGTGGCTACACACACAACATTGTTGCAGCAAGTTGCACCATTCCTATCCCGAAACTTATTTTCTTACTCATTTATCGTGCAAATGATTTGATTTCAGGGATCAAATTGATGTTGTGCTGATTTCATCCACGCTAGCAATCCTCTTAGAATTGTCTGTCTGTTTCACACAATCCTATACTTGTTCAGCATCTTGATTCGAATCTTCGTTCCTTGTGATTTTGATTCCAGGGAAGAGTTTCGTCTGGTCCGTAAGAAGCATCTTACACTTCTCAGCCGGTCCAAGGTACTCCGCATGCGAGGTCAGGAAGCTTTCGGTAAGTGCGAAAATCCCGTGTTGCTGAATTATATGGTCGTTGTTTCATGAATCAATGGTATATCATTTAATGTTGCAGACCTTTGAAAACCCTGCATGATCCTCTGGCTTTGTTTGGTCCATTGAATTCTCTCATATGTTCAGGATCCGAAGCATGTGCAAACATTGTGTCAGGTTGACTGGACCAAGATAAAGTTCAAAACCTCCGGGCTTTCAACCTCATGATCATCGCAGTTGATTTCCAATCAAATACTTGCTTCAGTGCAGAAGTCAACAACTAGTTGACGCATCACACATTTATGACTCTATTTCACCACATTTGGGACGGATAGTCTCATCCAGCCTTCCTCTCAGCGATGTACGCTACTTTGTCCATCCTAGACCTAACTTCCCATACTGGCAGATTTTGGGACCTGCAATGTATATCATTTTTAAGTAAAGTGAGGCCCTCATACTTTAGTTCTATTAAAAATTGGCATTTCTTTCATTCTCGCAAACCACACACCTGGAAGTGAATATTATAACTTAAGCACCCCGTGGAAAGGGATATTTGGTAAACGCCCTCGAGTGCTGCACTTGATAAGCACCATGTTACGGATCTTTGTATCTATGGATGGTGAACGAGTCCAGAAGCCGTCTTTGCAGCTGCAGTTTCAAGTGCATTCATTCATAGCCTTGCTCAAGGACTCCGGAAGATTGATTGGAGTTCCTCATCCTAGAGCGAAGAAATACAATCATCCTTCGTTTTCATAGTTATGGGTATGTCACGCACCGAGGCTAGCGTCTACTATCACCATCGATTTAAGCCAATTCCCGTCCGGTCTGAAGCACAGTGTGTTACGAGAGCAGATCAGTTTTGTGCTCCAGTTCCTTAGAGGAGGATCTGAAGGATAGTCTCATCTGTTTAAATCACTCCTTGTTCAGTCATACTGAAAATCAGACTGAAGTGAAGGGTGAACAGAGGAAGAAGGGGGGAAAGTTACTCGTATGATCCATCGTTTGTAAACTTTCTGAAACAGTGGTCCGTAAGGTCGAATTTCATATTTGTATTTGAACACTGTCGTCCCGATCAATCGTCACTTCTTCCGATTCATTAGGTGGGTGAGGAAAGACAGACTCGTTTTATTGGTGATGACGAAACAAAGTTGGTTTCGTTGCATATTGAATTCTATTGAACCCTCACGCTTTGGAGGATGTAACCAGACGATACTCTTCCCTATCCGACACCATTGATGGATGACAAACGAAGCCCAGAATGGAAGCCGATGTGCATCACTTTTTAACGGCTCCGCAGCGGAGACAAGGACAGGCCATTACTGCTGGACTGCTTTGACTGCAACAGAAATGCGGAACAGAAGCCTACAGGTGCAGTTAAAGCTTTTCTAAATCAACCGCCGAAGCTGGCTCTGCCAAAAAAAGAGACCTCTCTGCAGATGACCTGCCACTCTCACGAGTCGAGCCATCACCAAAACAGAGTCGACTTGAGCTCTACGTGAACAGTATTATAATAATTCCACAGTACAGCCACATGGACTACGTATCCGATGCTAGATAAATAACCTTCGTGACTGTGGATTCGCTGCTTCATATGAAGACCCTCCCCAATGAGGCTCAAACCACGTCATAGATCTCCATTACTGGTGAAATGCATGCCATACTGCAACACAACCATTGGGCAGCGACCTTCAGATTCATGATAGATGCGACACATACTGCCACAGTCCCTTCTGATTCAGTGCAAAGAACTTGGTAAATTCTGAAACCAAGGCCCCCACATGCAAAAGGGGCGAGTAGCTGTCCCTGACACGGTCCAGTTTGTGCAGATCGAAAGCGCAACCAGTGCTCAATCTTCGTGAGAGGAGCTTTTCCTCCGGCTACTCACTCAAGACCCACATCAGTCTCTTTCCCACACCGCAGCGAAGCAGTGTGTACCCGGATCAAGATACGGGTCACACCCGGGTTCCAGATATGTTCCTATGCTCAGAGGGTATTGACGGATATAATCCGCAAGCCAGGGTTACCGTCACTCCAACGTAAACACGCTCGGCGCGAACTCGGACCCTGTTTCCTCGCTGGGCTGGATGTTTGCTGCTTTATAGCAATGCCGTTGCGGTCTCTAGTCTCGGATTCTTCGGTTTGTTCTCGCATTCCGTATCTAACTAACTCGCTCCTCTAGATCATGCATGCTTTTGCGAGAGTACCTTATGAACTTTCCTTTTCCTCATGCGCTAGTTGATGTCACTGTTTTTAACTTCGATTTTGCTTATTTCTGTCTCCCGATATCTTGATTGGTTGCTCTCGGTTTGGACTGTGAGAGTGAACAGCCTTGAAGTGGCGCTTGGCTGTAATTTTTGAAGTTTCTCGAGCACTGTAGCCTTGCTGGTGTTTACATATAATGTGTGGAGTTTTTCTCGATTTTTGATTTCAGTGAAGAACGGGAACGGTGTGTTTGTTTTTAAGTTGTTTAGTTCAGGATTGTGAATTAAAACAATGGAGGATTTCCGAGTCAGAGGAATGTTGTCGGGTGTGCTTGTTATTTCGACTTTGTTTCTTGGATTGGTTTCGGTTAGTGGAACGCCGTTTGCAGTTGATGGCCGGGTTCTAGATAGTCGTCACAAGATGCTGCGGTCCAACGATGCTGGTGATGTTCAGGCGCAGCTGTTTTCTGCGGCGAGTGTGGAGACTTCGTACATAGTGAGACATTTTGGTTTTGCTTATAGAGATTGTATTGGAGCAGAGTGTCGACTTTGATTTCGTAGGATTACCTGAAATCGCTTACTGTAATGCAAGTTTCACAAGGGCTAGTGGCTGTGAAGGTTTCACCTTTAGGAATCTGACGAAGTTCAGGCGGCTGTCTTTTGATTTTGGCAATTGCAGTTATCTGATGGCGACGTCGTAACGTGCATTCCCATAGAAAATCAACCCTCCGTATTCCACACTAACACTAATGATATTCAAGTAAGAAGGATCACATGCGCGAATCCTGTACTCAAATCGTCCTCATTTTGTAGGTCTGCTATTTCAGCTGTTTTCCTGCTGTTGAGGCAGCAATCACTGTTATTTCTCAGTCTGAATCGGTTACGAGTGCCCTCGTGGATTTCAAGGTTCAGACGACACGCCATGGTTGTATTGATCCTCGACGTTTCAATGAATTTTTTAACTTGCAGCTGAAGCCTTCAAAGCGTCCAAACTCTAAAACATCTTCAGATGACAACAAATGGACGAAGAAAGCCTCCCAATTGTTTGTGAAGGAGTTCGGGGGATGCCCGAATGGGATGATTCCTGTGCGTCGAAGTCGGGGAGGTATCTCGACTGGAAGTCCTGTCGCAAATGTGCAATCGCAGAGTGCAGGCTCTCAAACACATTATGTGCATCAGGTCAGTATTTGCGAAGTTTGAAGCGTGTGTTAAAAAAATCCTGAAACCTTATGCTCGTCTTTGCGTTGCTGCTGATAAGTCTTGTGGTTAAATACTCACGTCCTTCGCTCAGCAAGTCGCCTTACACATCTCCTTCATACGTGCTTACATCTGAGTGGAAATTGCAGCATGCATATACATCAACAACAATCTCCCATCCCCCATCTTTCAAAGGCACCGAAGTGGTGTTGAATGTGTGGCAACCATTTGTCGAACCGCGTGATTTTAGCCTCGCCCAGCTCTGGGTTATGAACACAGGCTTGTCCTACGCACCTGGCAGCGACGATTGGGCTTTGAACACCATAGAAGCTGGATGGCAGGTTTACTCAGAACTTTATGGTGACAAGCGCCCTCGGCTTTTTGTCTACTGGACTGTAAGTGTTACATCGAATTGTACATGTAACAATATGTTTACTGGATATGGCCATAGATAACGTCAATTATATCTCAGACCTAATTCTAATTACATATTCTGCTCCAGGGTGACGGTTATGTCAAAACTGGGTGCTACAACCTCAACCAAGACTGCCCGAGCGGCAGTCCGGGATTCGTGCAAGTTAGCAATAAGGTTTTGCTTGGAGGATCCATATCGCCACATTCTGCAATGAATGCAACACAATATGAGATTAAGTTGCGCGTATTTAAGGTAAAACCACAGTTGTGCATTGGATCTACATCTAATTACATTCTAGGTTTCATGTCCACGTTATCGGGTGCCCAACCGTTCCTGGCCTTATTGGTTTTTTGCAGGACGACGACTCCGGTAATTGGTGGCTTCAGTTCAACCAAGAGTTCGTCGGATATTGGCCAAAATCTCTCTTTCACTCATTAAAAGATGAAAGCGACTTGATCCAATGGGGTGGTGAGGTATTCGATGTTCGTGAGAGCAATGACAAGACGAAGACACACATGGGCAGCGGTTCGCCCGCTCAGTCGGGTTTCCGGGAGGCTGCTTACCAGCGGAATCTACAATTCATCGACATGGACAACAAGATGAAGGATGTCCATGAGTTACAGGTATAGTACCCTATGTCCTAAATTCTATCAAACCCTGATCACCGAGTGTAGAATGGAGCTCATAGCACACTTAATTAGATTTTCACGGTGGTTTCTTCTCGTTGAGGGATGTTCAGGATCCAGTGTTCATGCTGTGATGTTGTTGAACAGTCATCAACCGATATGTCGTTCTGATCTCCGTTAAATACGCATTGGCTTTCAGGCAGTGGCAACGAAGCCCTCTTGTTACACCGTATTTCCTGAAAACAACCAACGTTGGGGCACGCATTTCTATTATGGAGGCCGTTGCTAGAGTGCTGGTTCGCCAAGAGATTGTGCAATTGGGGCTATCTTCTGCAGACCTTCAGCATTGGACCCTACCGGCGCCTGTGGTGGTGAGATTGGATTGTGGATAATCTCCTGTGAGGACATGTTGGTTAATGATAATGCACATCATTTTCGCTATCTTCTCACATATCCCGGAGAACAGGCCACGACCCGCGCTTTTCTGATGACGCACGTAAGCAGATGCATCAGCTATGAAGGCAACCACGTAGCTGGAGCCCTTTGAGAAAGGGCATTGTTTAGAAGGATCCCTGAGGCTCCCAACGGAAGAGCAGAGGTTACAGACATGTTTAACTCCCATATCGACCCACGAACACCTTGTTATTGAGAACAACGCTGCGAAGGAGTCCAACGAATTACCATGAATATCTCCTCTAAGCCAGGCTCAACCTACTTGATCCCAGCACTCCATCGGGCATGAAGAGGAATTCCATGTGTTCTGAAGACGGAGCACTACATACCCATTCTGAAGAGAAACGCTGTTGATGACTTTTAATCCGACCTCTAACTGTCACAGTAATAACACCATCACCTTAAGATGAACTCTTACGGAAGTAAATTATAATTGGAAAATATTGATGTAAATTAAAACTGAGCGAAAATGAAATGAATTATAATGGAACGAACAATAACTTGATAAAGCAGCTACCTTCTATCGAAAACAAAGTGGTGTGTTAAAATCAATTATGACTTCAAGTTACCATATTCATCAGTTTGACAAAGTTGAAAATGGAATCTAATTGTAGTAATGACTAACTAATATTAATTAATCCAATGAGCATCTGTCCTTCAGAAAATACCCACTTAAGATAAATATTTCAGTATAGACTAAAATAGCTAACTAATAATTGTTGATTTTACATATTCGTGCATGAGATACATGCCTAATTAAACAGAATACTTTCGATAAGTAACTACAACCCATTGAATCAAGAAATGTCCTAATGAAATACAACATTTAATATTATTTTCAATTTTTAGTTATATCTAAAACATATTTAATTAAATAATAGTTAAGAAATATTTTTCCATAAATCAAATTAATTACTGTAAAAAAATGATACAATGATAAGCTATTCTAACTCTAAACAACATGAAATAATTTACTTTAATTATGATTGTAAGATACATTGCAAAAGCTTATAAACCTAAAACAAGAATAGAAAATTCAACATGTACCCTATTCACACAAAGACTTAAAATAGTTCTCTATCTCTTTAATTTTTGTCAAAATAGCATTGAAAGAAAAATATTCAATTTTACCTAAATACATTTTGCACACTACTAAAGATAATCATAATGATACTTTTACAGAAATTTAATCATTTGTTATTATTAAAGTAGAATATACAATACTTCTAAAGATTTATTCTATCTTTCATAAATTTTAAAATAAAATGTTGTTTTAATAAAAACCTTCTAATTTAAATTTGAATATATATATATTTTTTTACAAAACTATATTTCCAAATAAATTTATTCATAAAAGAATCATTTTGATATTTTATAATTTATTTAAAATGTTCAAAATAGACCAAAAATACCAATTGTTAGTGAGTAGTTAATTCCATAGACATATCTAAAATCTAGTGCTCTTTATAATTTTAAATCCTTCATTTATTAAAAATAGCCATAAAGTGGTTTTCTGGATAATTAATAAATAAAATTAAACATATATATATATATATATATATATATATATACATATGCTTAAATCATTTTTTAAAGTTTGATTTTAATTTGATATACGCTTATTTTAATAAATAGTATATATATTTGTTTGTTTAGTTTTATGCCATGTTTAGATTCTTGCTGTAAATTGGTAATTTAAACTTACACCTATATATTGCTTTAATTTTTAAACCAATGATTTTTTTTTAAAACATTGTACAATTATATCTACATATCTATAAATATATATATATATATATATATATATATATATAAACTCATATAGATTTATTTCAGATGTGGTCTTATTTTCGTAAGGGTGCTACACATTAATTATTTTTTCACATATATCACTAGAACTTTGCATCTTCTATGTCATGTACTTAAATTTAATGTTAAATTTATTTCTGATTTTTTTTGCATGACAAGTACATCTAAGTTTATAGACGACTTCTTATAATGCTCCTTTTCATAAGGTTGTTCATACAAATATGCAATGTATGATGACATAAATGTCCATGAGTAACTAAATTATTTTATTTTACAAAGATTCACGCATTACAACAAATATGATGTTTGATTTTTAAGATATCTTTTACCTAAATGTAAAATTATATAAATATTTAGAAAATCATTATTATATACACATATGAATAAATGTAATGACCCTAATTTAATTGTCACATTTAATACCACCACTTTTTATGAATTAGAAGTTTATACATCTTCAGTATTCCTGATTGTGGCATGTTTTTTTTAATATCCTTCTAAGGAAAAGTTGTTCATTTGAATTAAATATCAGGTACATGCTATGACATGTACTTGTTATAAACTGGGTTTAAAAAGTTTACAAAAATATATTATATATTATTTTCTAATTTTAAATCAATAAATATTGAAATTTTAACTCAAAGAAGATTATACAATCTTTAATATTAGAGAATAGTAAAAGCTGTTTAATTTTATTAATAGCTGAACTTAAGAACTGACATTCCTATAATGCAAACATATGTTATTCCACCCAAAAACACTTTTGATTTAAAAAATAAATAAATAGTGTAATCTACAGGTCAATCAAAAAAAGCAACTGATCATTTTGATTATTAATATCTTTGAACAAAGGTGCCGACACAGCGATGAAGCAATGGTTCGACAATGCATCTGGTGCCTCATTTGCTGCGCCAAGTTGTAGTTTGATGATCGACATTCATGACCATTGCCACGTCCACAACGATCTCACTACCAAAGACAGGCGAAGGAGGACCATCATCCTTCTGTAATATTTTTAAGACAATTGGCTGTGAGTAGATGTACAGAGAAGATGCATTAGCACAGTTTTTTTACAGTTTCTTTTATCCATTTTAGGTGGGATTTGGATATCGAATTGGGTCCTTGCGACCGTATGAAGATAACACAAAGGAACACAGTTATATTTCCATTCTAGCCTAGTTCTGTCACTCTTTTATCTGGATACGTGCTAAATGGGGATAATTGTTACATGATGCGGAGTTGCTCTTCAAATCAGAGGTGATCAGGCAGGCATCGCAGGTTCTGCTACCATGGAACGAGTTGTTTAAGGTGTTTGGTTATGATGTCCACTTATAACATTCACTATTTAGAAGTTTTACAGATCTTTTAGCTTTCGTTTGGATTGTGCATGATTGATAATTGAAGTGATCAATCCCTTTGTCATCCCTGTCGTATAATGAACATTCAATGAAGGAATTAGTTGGCACTTGGTCATATTCAGTAGTTGAAGATCCTTACAATAATAGTAGATGAACTTTCTTGCTTGGCAAAATGCCTCCAGTGGTTTGTTTCAAACCACATAACATATCCCTACATTCTTGGCAACAACCTCCATAATCTCCCGTCCACAACCAAAAACACCATGTATCAAAGTTAAGTTCACGTTTAAGCGGCGGAATAATGTCACCAAGACAATTCCCTGCTTCAAATTTCCTCCGTCTTCCGGGCAGAATTTATCAGAGCCCCAACAGGATTTCGGATAAACCAAATTGGTAGTAAATTTAACAGAAAAACAACTCGAGAAGTGATTTACTTCACGACAGCAAGCGCATGGAACTAAGTGATGCAAGAAAACTGCCTGTGGTTTCACATAACACCACAGACATTACCTTGCATGATAATTATCCTCGCATCTAAACCTCCAGAAACATGAGACAACCCCAGAGCAAAACAAAACTGGTGTTCTATTGACACCCTACCTACACATATGCCGAAGTATTCTACTCGAGTACTGTGTAATTTGAGATACTTGACCAGCACAGAAATGTCTCAATAACAAAAAAAAAGTGTGTGTGTACCTCCCACAGACGTATTGAATATTATGGTGGGCTCATGCAGAGATTATACCAGAAGAGCGACCAAGTCTAATCTCCTCTTGCTTGCTTTTGCCATCCACAAACAGAGAGGCAGAAGTATTCTTTTGCACTCCGTTTCTGCTCCTAGTAAAAGAGTGGATTCGAAAAAGGGTCTCAGATGATGAGCTAAAACCTTCGTGATCAACGATAAATCACTTCTCACAATATATTCCGGTCTAATTGCATGGCGTTGCTTGATCACATTAACCAACTTGAAAAGTCATGAGCTTTGGGGGGGTTACAAACGATTCTCTGCAGCACTTGTGGCGGGATACAGGGAACAACAAAGATCCAGCTGAAGAATTTATTCTGGGTCCTACGTCAGAGTAGATGACAAAACGAACTCTATGAATAGGATTCACCTCTCCTTTTAATCACGTCTGTGTATGTGGGCAACCGCAACAACAAAAATAAGGGTTCAAGACAAAATATTCTATGACAATCACTAGACGATAACAAAGTACTAGTGTAGGAGAAATGATTAAAGATAAAAATTAGCTATTCAGAAATCCCTCACAAGCGTCGCTTCATCAACACATCAAATGAGCCTTTTGAGCATCGATATTTTCTACCGCATTTATATTCAAATCTTTCAGACTTTTGGACCACTTGGAGCAAATTCAGCAAAGGATTATTAACATTTTTATATTGAAGACTGATAATTCTCTTACCTCCAAAATTACCAGAAAAAGGGAAGAAAAGAAGTTAAGCCAGCCCTTCCTTTTCTCCAATATTCATCGTCACTTCATAAACGAAGTCAAGAAGACACACAGCAAACAAGCATAATAGACATAAAACCAACAGACAAACCCACTGAAAGAACCAAAATCGAGAAAAAGATTTCTGGCCACGAGGCACTCTCTTCGTGCGAGAAGGAGCCGCTATCCAGGTCAAGAATTCGCAAAGCTCTCTCGTGTCAACAACTCCCACGACCGAGCTGCAAATTCCTATGAGCAGAAGAAAAACACGATTTCAGAAGGCGTAAGACGGGAAACCTAAAATGGCACAGATTTAGGGCTTCATACAGGAGCCTGCCAAGTAATCATACACGTGGCAAAAGGATATGCCACTCACGTTGGCCAGCTAGGATAGTGACGCCCCCGTGGCGAGGACGTGGAAGGGTACATCGATTTAGGTATGTGAGGAGGGGATGTCAATCGGGACGTGGATTGGTGCGATGGAGGGCTATCGGCTTGGGCTACTCCGCTCGTCGTCGTCGTCGTCGTCGTCGTGGTCTTGACGCTTCACACTGTGGCTGTGGAAGGGAAAGCTTGAATATTTTCGGGTTTGTCGTTGTTGGTTTTGTTGTTGCTGAGGCTGTGTCTGGTGCGCGTGCGCGCAGGATTGTCATCGATGCCGCTCATGCGGGCGGCCACGGTCGTGGTGTATGCTGGGGCTTACCTGTTCGTTTTGTTTTTCGCTGTGTGTTTAGCGACCGGGCTGTATTATTTGGCGGAGCTCGTAGAAGAGTACACTCGGCTCACTAGGAAGGTGATTAGTTATGTTATTAAGTTCGTGATCGCGCTCCATGTGATCTTGCTCGTGGTGGATCGACTTCCTATGATTTCTATAGGCGTTGGTATCGCGTCCCATGTGGTGTACCACCGTCTGTTGAAAACGTTCCCCTACATTTCTCTCACGGCCCCTGATTTTCTGGGAAGTATATGCTTGCTGATTCTGAGTCATGTGGTCTGGATTCGGTTCTTCTACACCGATCCGCGCTGCGCCTACGTTACGATGGAGTGGCTATTTGGGTTCATGTTGGTGATGGTGTGGATGGTGCCATTCGCCTTCTTTATCTCTCTAGCGGCTAACGAAAGCGTGCTGCCTGGTAGTGGCGGCTTAGGAGGATATCATGGATTCGGGAGCGGCGATTTTTCGTCTCGCGGAGATGATGCCTCTGCCTCTGCACCGCCCAGACAGAAGGGCAAGCGAACACGAAGTTCCATTTTAGGGTTTTTGAATTTTTTGAGGAGCAAGCGCGACGAGGTGTTACCGATGGTGTCTCGGTCCATCCCTTCGTCTCGCAGAGTCGACTAGCGTCCTCTTGAGCTTACTTTCTCATTCCATGAATTCTATCGGGTTCAAGCTCAACACATATATGGAGAGGGAGAATCTGCACGATGTAATGAAAGCCACTATACGGCATTACACATTGTAATTTAAACAGGTCTTTTGAATATCGAGGAATTTTCTCGTATACTACTTCATCCTGCTCATTGCTGTATTATGATGGTATTGCGGACTTTTGCTCTGTGTGAACATGAAGGCACCACTGTTGTACATTTTATTCAATCGCCTGATCGACTTTCAATAAAGCGAGTGTTAGATTTTATCTCAATTATTCCATCCTATACATGAAATGCAGAGAGCATGTGAAGTATTCTCCATACTCTTCGCAAAGTGACTTTAGGTTTTTATTTTTATAGATGGAGCTCTACGAGTCCTTCTCAGTTCAACTCTTGAGCTGTTTATATTTGTGTTTGGTTCATGGTGACATGAGAGGCTGTATTTATTTTAAGCTAAATTATTGGCTTGTGAAATTAGTGATACTGCGTGTCCTGTGATTTAGCTAAACTATATTTAAAATATATTCATAATGAATCAAATGCTTCAGGAAAGTTTCGGCAGATTCCGAGAAGGATAGGGTGGAATCTCATGCAACTGGGGCATGACTGTGCTGGACGCAGATGTGTAACTATTTTTGAAATTCTTGTATGTGCAAAATGAATGTGTTATTCGTGTGCACCTGGAGTGCACATGGTGCTGGTGTTTTCATGCACTGCATCTGTGTAGGACTCGAATTTTATGAACAATGGTTGCTCGACTGGATTGTTCAAAAAGTTTCTAGAGGAATTCTTCGTCCAGAAACTCGACAGGTACCATGTTGCCCAAACTCGTATGTTCTAGTTGTGAATAGCATTGAGATATACAGAATGATTCTGAAAAACCATGTCTCGTTTGTAACAACCATGAGAAAGCAGCATGCAGGCAAGTCTAAATTGTAGGGTGGAGCTTCTGGACAGTTAATCACATAGTTTGTGTCTCCGAAGTGTCACTGCAGTAGCAGTTCAATTTGCATCATCACAACAAAGGATAAAAATCACATCACTGGTCTCCATTCTATTCATGAGGCATGGTTTGGTTATGCTTCTCTGCAACACGCAGGATCCAATTGCCCGAAAACATGAACATCTGGCTCGTTAATCTCCCAAGCTTTACACATTGCGTGTGGAATAAACAAAAGGGAAACTTCAGTCTCTACTTGGGGGAATAAGGAAACGAACATGAAAATGAAATAAAACATTGGTATTGTTTCCCCCGTTTTCACATGCACGCGTTTTTCTATCGCACTTACAGTTACTTATAGTTGCTTATGTTTACCAGAAGGATCTAGAATCATAGTTTCTTCTGGTTGGCCCTTGCTGTGTTGCGGGTAAAAAAAATTGCTTCTTGACTTTGTTCACTTGGGTAGCCTTCACTGTGCCCTTCAGAGATCCTTCTGAACCAACGTAGCATTCAAGTCTGAGCTGCATTTCTTCGTCCATCTTTTTTCGAAAAGCCTCTGTGATCAAACTAAGGTCGGATAGATGACACGGATTTCGATACAATTTTTGTCACAGACAGATTGGGGGTCACGGCCGAGGATGGTCCGTCAAGAAGGGGGTCTTGACGAAGTCATGGGCTTCTAATCAAAATCGAACCACGTCTGTCTAGGCACTCGTGTGTGGCCAATGAGGCCAATTGTGGAACTGGTGAGGAACAGGGCAAAACCATCATCCGTCATCCGCATGCTTTCGACTGGAGTATTCTGGAATGTTGGGTGATCAGGCTTCCTGCGATGCGCCAACTTCTGCGGATGTGGGACCACCATTCGAATGGGCCACCGATTCCACTCCATGTGCACAACAACAGCAACATCTGCATGGACGCATTCGTTGACACACCCTGCTGCTGTCGCCTTCGGTCATCGTTGTCGGTCTGTTTTCTTACCTGGATTAAAGACGTGTGGAAATCATAAGTATTAAAACCTGCTGTAATAATCTTTGTGGATTTTATCAAATGTGTAATAATCCGTTCATTCAAATATCACATCTTTATTGAAAAAAATTGAAGGCATTAAATTGTACATAGATTGTGTGTAGGTGTTACACACACAGTCAAGTATTACATACAGAGAGCTTGTATACATGAACCACTTTTACAGGAAAATCTGTAAGTTGGAAGTGCACGATTATAGTTTATAATTGGTTTTAATGGTAGTTTAATGCCACAGAGGACTAAGCAAGTGGGAGAAGTCCTCTAATTAACTTTCTACGATGGTTGGGAGTGCTACTGATAGTTCTTCATACTTGTCTAAATTAAAGCCACATCAGCATAGGGTACTCCAGTCCACGCTTCGTTTACGCTAATCAAAATTATGCGTTAATTTTTCAATATTACTGTCACTAATTAAGTCAATTATTATTCTCCCCTTGGGTTTGTGGCAATGGACCTGTCCCCCCCTGAGCAGAATGCCAGGCTGTCATGAATGTGGACTTGGGAACGAATTATGTGTATCATCCAATATTTCCCATTCATCCGTTCCTGCTCGTGGAGACCACATCTGCGGAGGATCGATTGCGGCAGCTCCGGACCTTTGGCATTTTATTACTTGAACTTCACTCAATGAAATAACATGGACTGAAAAGAAAAAAAAAGAAATAAACATTAAAAAAAATTATATATATATATATATACATAAAAATAGAAAATTTAAATTTTCTCAAGAAGTATCAAGTGATTGACACGTGCAACATTATTCATGTCCATTTATATTGCTTCAAGTTAGGAGGTTTTTTGTATTGTTTTCAATTTTGTGTTGAAATAATAATCCGGTTTCTTTGTTTTTTTGTGGTTGTTTCTTCTTTTTTCTTGTATATATATATATATATATATATATGTATGTGTGTGTGTGTGTATATATATTTCTTACATGGATTACATTAAATTCAAGGTTGGTTTCATATCGTTCTGTGTAAATAATACAAAAGTACACTTAAAAGTTATAATTGGTGTTTTTTCATACTACAAAATTATGTTGTCCAGTTAGGAATCGATGTGTGCAAAATCAAACATGTAATAATATATAATATATCTGTATTATACATCAAATGTCTTAAATTAATAAAAACGATTGTTAGAAGTGCATCTACAATCTTCACATTATGGGCCATCACAAAGGTATTGGCAGTGTCTTCCACTTCATCATTACAGCAATCAGCCACACATATACAGACAACTTTTTGTGGGTGAAAAGAAAGTAAAAATAAAAAAGCGTTAAAAAGCATAAAAAGATAAAAGTAAACGGAAAAAGATAGATTAAAAGCACATCTGTAGGAGTAAATTCCTGTAAATTTCTGAATAAGTTTAAGTAAAACTACTACTTGAATAATAATAATAATAATAAAGTCACAGCTATTCATGTACTTTGTATTTTGAAGGAAATGAATTTGTGGCACAATAGATTAGACACCTGGGCATCAGATACTGCACAAGATAGACGGGGCATCAAAGATCCATGAGTATAGACGAACGGAATCTGTTGATTGGCGGATGAATGGATGATGGGTAGATGGATTGAGGGCACGGAGACACGATAAAGAAGAGACATGAGATGAGGGGGAGGGTTTTATATATATATATATATATGTGTGTGTGTGTGTGTATGTTCACAATAAAAAAAATAAAAATAAAAATAAAAGGAGTAAAACAGAAAAAAAAAATATATATTATTTTTGTTCTACATTTGTTGTGCTAAGCTGTACCAATTTATGGAAGAAAAAAATAAAAATAAAAATAAAAATTATTCACAACAGATTAATATTTTGAACTACTTCAAACATGATGCGATTGGTTTGTTTTATTTGAATGCTGCTACTTCTAGAAGTTATTGAGATGGAGAATAATCTCGTTGTTGGTGGTTTTTTTTTTTTTTTTTTTTTTTTTTAAATAATTGTTAACGACCCTTTCTATAATTTGATCATTTCATTATTATGATTATTATCGAATAACTTTGGTATTGTCACTTTTGCATGGTACTATGAAACTAAGGCCTCAAATTTTTGTGGCACTTAAATACAATAAATCGCATAGAATGGATTAAATACCAATACATCATAAAATAATAAAGAAACAAGAAAAAGAACCAGATTTGGTTGTGATTGGTTCAAAAGAAAAAAATAAAAAAAATCCATCTTGTGTACATGAATTTGAGTCCATTCTAAATACACCTCGAAAAACCATCATTTCATTACCACATACTCAAAGGAAATTCAGGACAGTCACTTTTAAATTTGATGTTTCCCGTTGCATGTATCTGCGTGTACTTGCAAGTATGAATAAAAAGTGACCATGAATCTTTAAAAAGTGTATCATGGAAGTTTCATTCCTAGCACAGCACAGCACAGCAGAGGGAGAAGCTTTTATTATTTCTCCGTTCAAACAGATACTTGTTTCCCAAGGCGTATAGACGAAAGCCGGTGGATGAAAGATCGAGACGAAACAGCGACGAATGAAAGGGGGTAGACTGGGTGAGGAGGGATGAAGGAGGGGGGCTTGGTGGAACGAGCGAGAGAGAGAGAATGTGAGTGATAGACTGAGGCTGAGAGCAGGCGCTACAATCCAGCGGGCGTTTGTCGGTAACTCGCCAATGCTAGAGCCTAGTTTTTAGAATGACCACTCCGAATCGCGCGAGATTCAAGGGTTATCCTCGCCCATCCAGAGCTCACAACCAAGTCTACATTACACACATACATCCATCCTTCCTTGACCTGCTCTCATGGAGTTCAAGGGAGGGGAGGGAGGGAGATCAAGGCAAAGCGAAGTAAAGCAAATCCATGCACGGACTACCGCAGCACCGGGATTGCAAGAGGGAATCCACATTATCGGAGCCGACGAGAATTTTATTATTAGCCAGGAGCACGGGAAACGGAGTAGGCCCAGACCGTCTCGCCACGGCCGGAGTTCGTCATTCGTGGACGCTTGCCTGCTCGTCGTCCTCGTCGCACTCCGTCCCTCCATCCTGATACCTGACCTGGCCCGACCTGCCCCCGCTACCCGATCCGACCCGACCCGACCCGACTCGATCCGAACCTCGTTCCTGACCCGCCAAGCTAGTGGTGTTCAATAATGCTTCTTCTTCTTCTTCTTCTTCTTCTTCTTCACCAGGCCAGTTAAGTTAGTGCTGCTTTGCGAGATCCTTCAGGAAGGGAAGAGGAGTCCGTGGATGGACGGACGGACGAAGCCGTCCATTTGTCCCGGACATGGTAGGACTGGTGTAGCTGTCAACCTCATCTAGGGTTTGCCATGCGAACCCGGCAAGAAGAGGGAGCAGTAGTAGTCTAATGCCCGAATCTAGTCGTCCGGAGTTAGTTTGGGGGAGGGAGCGAGAGAGTCAGTGAGATTGTGTTTGTTTTTGTGCGTGTCTGCGTGTGTTTTGGTGGTTTGATGTCGGTGTTTTCTCACGGGTTGCGGTCGTCGAACTCGTGGACCGTGGTTTTTGCCTAGAGTGTAGTTGTGACATGTGAAGTCGGTCTGTGGTGGTGAAGTGGGAGGAATCTTACAGTGGTGAGAGCGACGATGGCAGATCGGAGTGAGAAGCCAGGGGAGGGTTCGGCTGGTCGGGGATGTCAGGGTGAAATGTGAAGGTTTTGCGTCTTCAAGGAGTAGCAGAGGGAAAAGGGAGAGGGAATCGCTCGTCGACTTCTTGTCTGAGACGGAGAGAAGCGACGACTAGGTGGCGGACGTTTTTGGTGGACATGTGTTGACATGCCGCAGACTGTGTGCTCGATTGTTGTTTTCACGGTTCGATGCTGCCGGGGCGGAAAGTGGATGTGTTGCATTTGATTCGTTTCGGAGGAATGGCGATCTAAGAAACTAGAGAAAGCGTGAGCGAGATAGATATGTGCGGAACGCAAAACATCGTTCGTCCGGTTGTTCCCAGGAGCGTTGTTGTGTTGCGATTGTTGGAAGATATCTTGGTCGTATGCGGTGTCGTGGTATGGAGCGATTAGCGGAGTGACAAGTTTTCTGTTCAGACATTACAATACTGCCGTAGTTTGAAATCCAGGACAGAGGTGATTTCTTCACTTTGTATCCTGCTGCGTTTCGGTATTTTCTCGTTCTGCGTGTTTTTTTTTGGTTTAGTGTGGCCAAAAAATTTCAGAGGCTAGAGGGGGGTCAGATATAGTGCACACTAGGGTAACTTGTGTACGCTTCAGATGGCGGACTCCAGCAAAAAAAATGGCTCAAATGCTCCTCCAGGCTTGACACCCGTTCGAGGTTTGGACTCTGCTGAAGATGTAGTAATGCAATGGGATTTGTCTTCATCCGAACATGCCCGACAGTCCATGATATGGGACTGTCCTCGAGACGAGGCTATTGCATACTTGGAAGCAGTTGATGAGATTCAGTCTGCGTTGGAATCCTTGTTAGTCAGTCAGAGTAATAAGAAGGAGATGAGTAGGGCACAAAATTTACGCCAGCTAGCCATGGCACGATTGGAGGAGGAGTTTAGGCACCTGCTACTAGCGTACAGTGATTCGATCGACCCAGAATGGTTAATGGAAAACTGTTCTAGAGCCGCTTCATTTAGCAGTCGACGGTTAGACGATGTTGCAGCTGATGATGCAGTCGATGAAGCTCACAGCTCAGATGATGATGATGAAAAGAATGAGGAGATACCATTTTCTAGACCCGTGGGAGAGATGAAGCCTCTTGTGGACCTCGTACCTCCGGTGATAGTGCCCGATTTGACTAGTATCACACAGAGGATGCTCGCTGCTGGATACAAGAGAGAATGTGTGCAGGTATATGCTAGCATAAGGAAGAACGCGTTGGAAGAGACCTTGAAAAGATTGGGGGTTGAGAGGTTGAGTATCGATGAGGTCGGGAGGATGAGGTGGGAAGATCTGGAAGTGAAGATCAAGAAGTGGAATCAATCCATGAAAGTGTCTGTGAGGGCCCTGTTTGCAAGCGAGAAGCGTCTGTGTGACGATGTGTTTAGTGATGCACCGCCCAATGTCGGAGATTCTTGCTTTAACGAATTGGGCAAAGGGCCGATGATGCAACTACTTAGCTTTGGTGAAGCTGTAGCTATTAGCCGTCGATCTCCAGAAAAATTATTCAAGATACTCGACATGTATGAGACTCTGCGGGATCTTCTTCCAGAGATTGAAGAGATTTTTTGTGGTGAGGCATGCGCACCTTTGAGGTCCGACGCTGAGGGGATACTGATGCGGCTTGGAGAATGTGCAAGAGGAACTTTTGCTGATTTCGAAAGTGCAATTCAACGAGATGGTGCGAGAACCCCTGTGCCTGGAGGTGGTGTTCATCCACTAACTCGGTATGTTATGAATTACATTAAGTTTATGTGTGATTATTCTGATACTCTAAAGCTGCTTTTTGGAGAAAAGGAATGTGATTTGGAGGATGAGGAAGGATCAAACAGAGACGGATCAAACAGAGACGGATCAAACAGAGACGGATCATACAGAGACGGGTCGTACAGAGACGGTTCACTCAGAGAATCACCAAGATATTCATCTAGATCAAATGATGGGGAGAGAGGTGGCAGCGCTGAGTTATCACCGCTCGCTGTTCAAACAATCTGGATAACTAAAGTGCTCCTGTCTAATTTGGAGGAAAAGTCGAAGCTGTATAAAGACCTGTCTTTGACTTATTTGTTTCTTATGAACAACATTCACTACATTGTTCAAAAAGTGAAGACTACGGAGGTGAGGGCCTTGGTTGGGGATGATTGGGTGAGAAAGAACACTAGTCAGGTCAGACAATATGCCAGTAGCTACCAGAGAGCTGCATGGGGTAAAGTTTTATTGTGCTTACGCGATGAAGGTATTCACACCAGTGGGAGTTTTTCAAGCGGTGTTTCCAAGCCAGTTTTGAAGGAGAGATTCAAGAGCTTTAATGCTGCCTTCGAGGAGGTTCACAAAGCACAGATGAGTTGGGTTGTCTTTGATGAACAACTTCGAGATGAGCTTCGTATTTCAATCTCGGATAAGATACTTCCTGCTTATCGCTCTTTCCTAGGTCGATATGGACATTATTTGGATACCCAGAGACATCCAGAGAGATATATCAAGTACACATCTGATGATATTGAAGAAGTTTTGAATAATCTCTTTGAAGGTTACATGTTCTCTCATTCTTCAAGGGACCTTAGAAGGAGAAGTTCTCACCATGGGTCTTCCCACCATGGCACCTAAGAAGCACATGAATACATCGATTATCACCCTTTAGAAGGGGTACTTAGATTTCTCTGCTAGGTTTTCAGTTGCTCTAGCATTCAGTGGCAACTTCCTCTGCCATAGAATTCATAAAGTCCAGATGGTCGATGCAGGAGAGGCTTCTGGACGTACCCTATCTTCCTGACTGGAAGAAGCTATCATAATGTATTCAGCAGTGTGTTGATGAACAATTTCAGTTCATTCGAGTTTTTGGTTCTTCTTGGGTTTCATGGTATCCTTCTTAATATCGTTTTTCTTTGATGAATTTTTGCTATATGAACTGTTATCCTTAACTGTATACATCCTTTTATACTGGATTTTGAGCTAATGCATTAGGAGGTAACTAACCATCCCTGGTGTTTTTGATGGGGCTTATAGTCGATCTGCACTGGTTCAATGGAGTTAGCTCGCATACCATTCCGGGGTTTTGCTGGCTTTTAAGATAAGCTTTAAGGCAATCCATGAACCAGGTAAGAATTTGGTGAGCCCTGGTGTTTATTTGTATTTATGCCTTCCTGAGTTGGCTCTTTCTTATGAGCATCGGTTGTTTGTTCGTGTGTTAAGCTGATAATAATGACTATATTGCTGCTAATCCTTGAGTAAACCGTCGGTCTACCTTCCACTAGAGTACGTTGTGAGTATATAACTCCCGTACGCAGGTTGTACTTCTTTTCGTACAACCATTATATTCCCTTAAGAAATACTGCTGTCTTATTATTATGAAGATGAATGAGAACTATAATTGGTTTAGGTCAGAATGTCCACTTGTAGTATTTTGTTGCTCAATCATTCTTTGCTCTTTGTTTCTCTAATATTTAACAATCCAATAACAACACTCGCTGGGCTTTTGATCTGAAGAGTCTCAGTTGTACGAAGTAAGATCGTTTTTATTGTTTTAATTCTTTATATTTTCATGTCTTATGTTGGTGCTTTACATGCCCGAAATATTGTGCATTCCAGTATTAGGAAGGGAGTGTGACAGTTAGGTTGGAAATCATATATGTTGGCTTTCACATGAAATCCCAACATCTTCACCTACAACATTGACCCTCAGAAGACTGTACTCTCTTGGTAGCTGCAAGTAATTTGCGTGTTTGAAAGATGTGTAACTGACCTCGAGTGCTCTGATGATGAGTGATTGAGAGGGTGTTTAAGACGTTAAGGAATGGCTGTATTTTCGTTTCTGTTTTCGTAAAAACAATTGCTTAAAGGTTTTCCATGCTGTAAATAGCGTATGGAAACATGTGATGCAGTCAGATGTCTCTTGTTGAAACTCGTCCTCAGAACGTTCACTTTAAATACTTGAATTCCAATTAGCAAGTCTAGGAGTAACAGCTAGGCAAATACAATTCGACATTGTGGGCTTCTATGTTTTAGAATACCTTAATTAAGTGGTTTTTTAATTCTATAAAATAAATTATTTTATTTAGTAAAAAATCTTATGATCATTGAAAACCACTGAGCAATAGATTTTTAAACTCAATGCAATTGAAAGTCGTAACATATCTCTCGTACAGAAATTTGATGCTTTACGAACTTATCTCAGAACTTGGTTAAAGAATATATTTTCAAATATATATATATATGCTTGACCAAACCTTAAGATGTAGCTTGTGGTTTTATTGCTAAAATTATGCATGATTTTAGTTCACATTCTAAAAGTCACATACAGAGTGAGGTGGTGGAACAAGAAATCTCTGCAGATGGTGTGTTAAATGATGTATTGTAATATTTATTCCAAAAACGAATTAACTGATAATCTAAATTTAAATGTTGGCGATTGTCGTTCGAAAAGACAAAGGTTTATTTGATTACATACAGTATACCCTTGCCTACCCCTCTAGTCTTTAACTTAAGCCTCTCCAATGAAAATCATCTTCTGAAAATGTTAACTCAAGTGAGTATGTCTTGCTATAAATAGATTACCATATTAAAAGTATTTATATATACACGTAAATATGCGTAATACTATAAATATGAGTACTTATTAACATTTACATGTCTATTTTTATAATAGATTACAATATTATATAAAAATTAATGTATATAAAAGAATTTAAATAGTGACATTTGGTCTAAGATCTGGTCCTTGCCCATTGCTTCTTGCGCTTGAAGAGTAATAATAGGGGCATATCCTTCTTTTATATTTATTTCAAAAAAATTATGAGAATATCGAGCAGTAAAAACCATATGAATATATTGAGAATCTTATCACAAACATTTATATATGAATCCGTACTAATTAATTTGTTTTTACCATTATTTCTCACATGTGTTGTTTTCTGTTGTGATTGAGTCGCTTGGCTTTTATTATCCTTAAATCACCAAGATAAGTGAAAACAAATTCTGGGTTCATTTAGGTTCTTGGTTCAAATGGACATCTATTAAAATTTGTTATCTATGAACATGAGTTTAGAATAATTTCGTTGCAACCAAAAAATTGTAAATAAAAAAAATATTCTTTCAATAAAATGCAAGTGGTTAAATTACACTAAGAGAAAGCTAACAATCAAGAGTAAGTTGTAGAATTACAATAGAAAAAAGCTAATTTAGGAGACAAGCCATAGTCTAATAGAGACTGAAAATGGGTTTTTGATGACTTGAAATTTACTGAGTTCAGAAACAAGAAAAAAAAACTGTTATATCGATTCTTTTTAAAGACTACCTGGAAAAGGGTAGCCCAATAACACATGGTTGAAAATATAAATTTAGGACACTCACTTAGGAAATGTTTTAAAACAATATACTTAAACCCCAATGAATGCTCACTTACGGTACAACTCTTCTGATTTTAACTTCATTTTTTCTGGGAATAAAAAAACATCAGTTAAGACGAACAAAAACTTAATTCCAAGTTAGGATGGCACTTTGCAACACCTTCAATTAGTAACTTGAAATGACAGATCGTATGTCAAAGTACTGTGTCAGAGTAGAAACTTACACATGCAGATTTGATAAACATGTAAAACAATATACTTTTGTCTCTCTAAGCAACATGTGTTACATTAGCTCTCCGAAGTTGAGACTCGAAGAAACATATCATAACACACAATTAGGCTTAGTTTCTGGGAGAGTCGCATTGACACTGACGGGACTCATTCACTAATCTAAAGAGCATAACTCAGTTCAACATTAACCATGCAGAACTAAACGCTGAATTCCACAACAAAGAATGCAAAATTCTGTAGAGCAGAATGGATGACCAGACACAATTACTTGCTAGACGGAAGCCAAAACTATGCAAGCAAAATCCATATTCTCATCACATTCAATCTGAAGTCAAAAGATTGTAAGAATTAAAAGGAGCATGAGAATTACTACTGAGCACTGAATAAGATATAATGAGCTAAAATGTTTCTATCAGCAAGGATTCTAAAGGATGTGGAGAAAAAAACTAAGGATGCGAGATGCAAGCTAAAGAAACGGAAAAGGCATAGCTCACAGAAAACCTGCTAAGGAAGTATGATTTCGACAGTAGTCTTCGGAGTAGCAAAAAATTCTTGAGGTTGGGTGAGAACGTTCAGGTGCTAATTTCTTATCTGAGTGTAACATTCAGCTTGGTCTGCACCTGCTCCCGCACTTGCGACTGCAACTCATTGATCTCTTCGTCAGTGAGCGACCGCTCCATGGAACGGTACGCAATCCTGTAGCAATGGCTTGTCAAACCCTTCTTAGGGTTTGTGAACTCGTCGATCAAGACAACTTCCTCAGCTAAGTCACCCGCGATCCCTCGAACAACCTCACACAAATTGTTCTCTGTGAACTGCTCGCTAATCCAGAAACTGATGTCCTTGTAACAGGGCGGGTACTTGGAGTAGGCTTTGAACTTGGTGCCCAATTGGCCGGATTTGAATTGAGAAGTGAAGCGAGAGTCGTTGGTCCAGAATAACCTAATGTCGGGAATGTCGAAGAGCACCATGGCGAGACGCTCCAGACCAAGGCCGAATGCCCACGCCACCGTCCCGTCGCGACCATTGTTCTTAAGAATGGCTTGCTCGGTCACACCGCAGCCCAAAACCTCCAACCACTTACCCTGGAAAAAAATCTCCAGTTCGTACGAGGGTTCGGTAAATGGGAAGTAGCAATCCACCCAGCGCATTTCGACCTCGCCGAAAAGACGGCGAGCCAATCCCTCAAGCGTCTTCTTCAAATCCTGAGCAGCATATGCGGTTCCGTCCGAGCTTCCAGCAGCTTCCCACTCCTCGGGAGTGAACACGCGAAACCCTTCCATCTGATGGAAAACGGGGTAATGCGTGGCGTCAATTGCGTCACGGCGGTACACATCCCCAGTGACCAAGAAATGCGTGTGCCCTGCCCGCAGCATCTCCGCTTGATGTGCGCTCGTGTGGCAACGAAGCACTGTGTTGGCATCGACATAGTATGTATCATTGTAGCTTCGGCTCACATGGTCCGGGGGCGTCAAAACATCGTCGAAATTGGCCTTCACGGACACAATGGGTGCGAGATTGTCGAACTTCTTGAAAAGCTCCGGGAACGACTCATCGAAATACTCATAGATAGTATTCTTAAGGATACCAAGCGGATGGTCATCACGTGTATGCAACTGCATCCCAATCTTAGTGAACACAGAATCAGGCACATTGTTAGTGGGATCATCTTCCCGCACAACATCGTCCCGGCTAATCGTCGATCCCCCGACTTCAACCGCAGAAGCGGTGGCAGCGGTCGTAAACCCTCCCCTCAGCCTCTCCACACCCAAACCCAAATTTTGTCTCTGCACTCTAACCGAGCTACACGAACTCACCACCCCAGCTCCAATTGACACCAATTTCAGCTCCGTCGCACCAAGACGCGCAGCACCCAGTGAAGAAACGCTCTTGCCGAGATCCGAAGGCTTCCCGAAAGCCTTGGGTGCGGCCAGCGACATCTGCAGAGTCGCCGCCATTGCGAGAATCGGAGGACCTGTCTGCACTCCGCCTCGAAGCACAGACGTGACTGAACACCTCAATGCATACATTCCATACAGTTTTTGTGATAAAACTGAGCCTGAATGATTGGTTGCTGATCCACACACGCGCGCAATTCCGCAATCCGGCCACACGCTGAGAATCGGCCACGCTTGGCTCCCACTTCGGCGTCGGGGGAGGCAGCAAAAGCTACTCCACTGTCATTTGAAGATAGCGGACGAGATCGATACCCTGGTGGACACATACCCTCTCAGTACCGTTTATCCACCGGGTATAAATATCATACAGGTATTAATACTCCGGAGGGGTCCACGCCGAGTCTCCTGTCGGCACCACAGGCCACTCCAGCTCGACGTGGCATCCGACGTGTACATAATCCATTCTAAATTGCACAGTGTGCCTTGATTGATGATGAGTTGCGAATTTATGTTAACCCCAAACTTCAATACTGTTACATGTTGTTATATTTCAACCTTTTTTTTTCAAAATATGCATCGAATGAATTTTTTGTTTATTTTTATTCTGAAAAAATAAATTAATGTCGAATTATTCATTGTCCTTGACCATGTGGTTATTGTCTTGAAACATGTGCACAACTTTCAAACAATTTTCATGCGTAAAAGAATAAATTTTGATGGAATAAACGTTGACTTGAACTCATTCAGTAGACGATTCTGAACATTAATCAATGCGTATTTAATGAGAATTCTGAACGTTTCATGACAATTCGTTTTTAATTAAACTATGGATATGAATAATTATTTGTTTGTAAGGATCGAAGGAAAAAAGACAAAAGAAATGCCATGTTCTTGTAGGAAAACAGCGTCTCTACTCATAAAAAACTTTTTAAATTGAATGTAATGAAATCAAAATAAAAACTGCTAACTCAATATTCTTCTACAAAAATGGACAGGATTTTTTCGTACATTACCATTGTTGTCAATTTTGCAGTTGTGATACATAAATATTATTAAAAAAGACTCGTCCTATATTGAAAACATTAAGAAAATTAAATTACAATACTGAAAATACTATTTTAGATTATCCAAAAAATTAAGTCTCCAAGATGTCAAGTAGAAGAAACAGGCTATATGTACTACGAATAGCCATGTAGAACCTGAATGATTGAATTTTTTAACAACTAATGTTTTAGATTTTGACATTTATGGTGACTTGTAATATTTAGTTTTAATTATTTGTTTGGTCTGACAATCAACAAGCTTGAGGTTGTATATTGGTGTAATCAATCTTGTGATAAGTGTTTTACACATCATATCATATTTGGCATCATCCAAACTCACTTTTTACAACTTGATGTATTATGTTTATTTCTGTTTATCTATTTATTTGAATGTTGTGGTTATAACCGCAATTAATACTCTGCACGTAACTAAAAATATTACCAAAATCAATCTTGGATTTCTAGATTTCAAACAAGTTTTGTAAACTGCACAAAATTAAGGAAATGTTATGTTTTCAGGCTATTCTTAAAATATACTGAATTATATTTTTTTATAAAAAAGCCTAGTTTACCATTTGCGCATACCAATATAAATATAAATTGAAAACTCGAAATTTATATAGTTTTACCATGGATCACAAATAACAAGAAACTGAATCATGTTGTTTAAAAAAAGAAGGATATTTATAAGCCCATATTATTACACCATTTAAAAAATTCATCAACAAAATATAATTAAAAATATGCAACGTCATGTAAAGCACAATCATACGTGATGATGAAATACTTATCATACAAACATGTTAAAAAGAAAAAAGCTTTGGAGTACATATGCTTTGTACGTTCTAATGTTTCACATGCATACATGCACACACAATGGAAAAACAAAGCATCCACTTTACTTTATTTTTATTTTTATTTCTATTTAAAAAAAAACACCTTACAACTCATGGTGCACTAAAATAAGAATCTAATGAGTAAAAAAAAACAATTATATTATAAAACCAATATTTATTAATCAACATCTTTTTAGTCTATTTTGTCAAAAAGAATATTGTGATGCTACTCTTGTTATGTAAAAGTAACAGAATTTCATCTATGAAATCAACATTCTTTTGCCAGTTTTTTTTTTTTTTGCATTTTTGCATTTTTAGGAACCATCAATTATCCCACGAGTAATAAATAGCAAGCACGCAATTGCTCCATCAGGCTTCAAATACAACGGTGCCACAACCCACATGCCACGTCACACTCAACCCATTCCCACAAAAGGGAAGCGAGGGAAGCGAAGGAAGCGAAGAATCTGGAAAGCATCCAACTGACAACTCAGTGCCACACGGCGGATTTCTACTTGGCAAACCCATCGTCCTCGAATATTGCCACACCCAGCTGTCGTGTCAGGTGACATGGAATCGCGACATTGGGCAGGGGTCGGAATTAGGAGCCCCTTCCCTCGGTTCAAACGAAAGAGAGAGAGAGTCCGCTTGGGAGTGAAGAAGTATCTCGGGAGGGTGTTTTTTTTGTGGCTGAGCAAGTCCAGACAAGCAAGAAAGGCACACGGACACCGAGACCACCACCAGATTGCTTTGTATTTTCGTCGTTTTGTTTCCGCGCCCGTTGTCGTTGTGGTGTCAAGGTTCTGGTGGCTTTAAGGTTGTTTTTGAATCGGAGAATTGATCTCTTTTTTTCTGTGTAGCTTGGGACGAGTTTAGGACGGGTTGGATTCTGCCCGGAGCTGCTAATTTGTAAGGTTTTTGGTTAATGATTTTGTGGAGATGGCTTAGGTCTTCGTATTGACGATCTCTAGGTGTAACGTTTAGTGATTTTCAGAGGTGTTTGGTGGAGTGGTTTGATTTAGGGAGGGCTGGCTAGGTTGATAATTCAAGGCGTTGTGGCGGGTGATAGTTTCAAGAGTTTGGTGGTTCGTTGAGAATTTTGGTTGCAACCGAGTTGAATCACGTTCTGTAAGCTTCTGGGAGTTTTTAAACGGGTGCGCTGTCATTTGGGAGCGCCAATGCCCCCAGAACTGAGTCGTATAGCGTAGTTTCGCTTAAGAACGAGAATTTATATTATATTATATTATATTATATTCTTTTTTTCATATCTAAGAAAGCTCTTCTAGGGTTTGGAAGGGAAAGTTTCTGCTGAAAACTTGTCTTGCGGTTTGATCGAACTTCGATTTTCATCTTACGGGGATCGAGTTTCTGCGACGAAAGGAATTTGCGGAATTAGGGCAAACTTTGGGGTAACTTCAGTGCCATGGAGTGTCCATGAGGTGCGAACAGATGGACAGATGATGAGCCTGATGTTTTATGGCTCTTTGCAGTTTGTTCTCGCGCCAATTTGTTTTTCTTCAGCTGCAGTGAGTGATATAAATAGCTTGCACTTGCCGGACAGAACAACTTCAACAGTCTAATTGTATGTTACAAGGTGGTGGCATCTTCTACGTTACCAGGCTTTATTCGAGGAATTAGTATTTGGGAGAGCTTGGAGGACGTTACTCTGAATTAAGGCTTAAGGGTCAGGATTATCTGGAAGGTTGAAGATGGCGACCAATGATGTCGTGAGCGTTTCGCATTCTATGCTACTAAAAGCTACAGATCTCAAAGATGACCGAATCGATGTAATTTCAATCTGTCTCTTTGTATTTTTACTCTGTGCGTGCATTGTGCTGGGGCACCTTCTGGAGGAAAATCGGTGGATGAATGAGTCTATTACTGCTCTTCTTCTGGTGAGTACTGATGTGTGGTTGAGGAATTTATACTTGGTTTTCTGTTGGGCACTTAAATAAGTGTATTTTTTATTTTTTAATTTTTTTTATTTTAATTTCTCTCTCTCTCTCTCTCTCTCTCTTTTCGTGAGCCTAAGTTTTGGAGGTATAATAGAGTAGGGAGTAGAATCTGATGTTCTGTATTTGAATTGTACAGGGACTCTTTACTGGATCTATAGTGTTGATTTCAAGCAAAGGTCAAGGTTCTCATATTCTGGAGTTTGATGAAGAGCTTTTCTTCATATACCTTCTTCCACCTATAATCTTCAATGCTGGGTATGTTAACGTTATCCACTTGACATCTATTGCTGAAGAAACTGAAGTAGAGCAGGATAGCTTCAGATTCTCTATTATTGTCGATCTTGTGTTGGTGACCTCTGGACGGCATAAATTGGATTGCTTCTTGTGTTGATGGATGTGCAACTTCAAAGCTTGCGTCTACACTTAAAATTCAGTGACGACATGACTTTTGTGATTCTCAGGTTCCAGGTTAAGAAGAAGGAATTCTTTCGGAATTTCATAACAATCATGTTTTTTGGAGTTATAGGAGTCTTTATTTCTTTCGGAATTATCTCAACAGGTGAGAGTTCTAATTCTCTGAAGATATACCTGAATTATGAGACTGGGGTAAAACCATCTGTTCAGACCTTCAAATGGTGATTTGCTTCTTATTCAGTCGTTCTCCTTAAGTGCAGGAAGTTGGTATTTCTTCTCCAAGTTCGGACTTAAGAACCTGCCTATTCGAGATATCCTAGGTTCGATCTTAACACCTAGATACCGGTTGTGCACAATTGTTATGTAATGACTGTAATGTATGGCTTACATTGTCTATCATTTGTGCCTTCTGATTCCTAGTGTATTTTTTTCTGTACGTTAGTAAATCGACTGAGTTTTGGACTACTTTTGTACTCCCTTTTGGGCTTTCTCTGAGTCTGTTTATTGGCATGACAGCTATTGGAGTCATCTTTTCTGCTACCGATTCCGTCTGCACGTTGCAGGTACGTTGGATGTAAGCACACTCGATAGATTGGCTTAGAACATCACTTTGTTCGAAGGTTTTTGGGGTCTTAACACAAGTTCAGTCTTACGTAGTGTTTTAAAATGATCGTTGTGCTTGGTGCTGCTGCATTCCAGAAACACAGGATGACTATGCACTATATAATACCTGAATTGGTAATTCTGGAGAACTGATTTTGTACTTGTTTAATTTCTATTCCTTTCCATTTTTTTTTTTTTGTATTTTCTTTCTGCAGGTGCTGAACCAAGATGAAACCCCTCTACTTTACAGTTTGGTCTTTGGGGAAGGAGTCGTAAATGATGCTACTTCTGTGGTTCTGTTTCGAGCTGTTCAAACATACAACTTTGACAATTTTACATCCTTAGAAGGCTTACAAATTGGAGGCAGTTTCTTGTACTTATTCTTCTCGAGTTGCATCCTGGGAATCGCGGTGAGCCTCTCATGTCTACGAGTTCTACTTAATTCGATGGATATGAGGTTTACTTTCAGGGCTTCATTTACCTACCGTCTCTCCATTTTACAACTAGTATCTGGCTTAGCAAGTGTGTCTCGTGTGTTGTGAAGTGGTGGTAGTCGAAAAGGTTAGAATGATTTATTATCAGAAATGACAGGTAAGCTTAAAAAATGGGAACTTTTTTCTTTTTGGAATCTGACATCTGGCAGTAAACATTGAACACTGACGATGGTATCCTATTGTTACAATGTCCAGCTTAGAGAATTTGGTCAAAGTCGATTGTTCTTTTGTAACGTGTATTTGTTTCTTTGAACGTCCTTGTACTTAGTTGGCATCATTACATGTAGAGCTTTGCTTGTTGTTACTATCACCATGATTTTACTTGAATTGTGTTATTAACTCGACTTTTTATTGCAATTTGCAGTCGGGCTTAATAAGCGCATATATCATCAAGACAATGTACTTTGGCAGGTAGGATTTTGTGTGTAATATAGAGGTTTCCTTCACCTGTTGTACACTTAATGTTCATTTGGTCATGTATTTATTTCAGGATATACTTGTCATGATATGGGATCATTTTATTACGGCTGTTCTCATGCTACTAATGAGTTTTTTGATTCATTTTTAATTTATTTGAATGGATTGCAGGCATTCCACGGATCGTGAAATAGCAATCATGACATTGATGGCGTATTTATCTTACGTCTTTGCAGAGGTTAGCTCGACTGTTCATGCGAATTGTTTGTTCAAATGTTTGTTACTGCAGCTTGCTATTTAACTTGACGAGGAAACGGGCATCTGTGTAGGAGTTTTTGCAACTTGTAAATGCACAGGTTTTAGAAATCTTACTTTAGTATGCGGTCTTTTTTGCAGCTTTTCTACTTGAGTGGAATTCTCTCAGTGTTCTTTTGCGGCATTGTAATGTCTCATTACACTTGGCATAACGTCACGGAGAATTCTCGAATCACAAGCAAGTACGTTTTATAATGTACCTCAGTTTCTATGGGTGTTGCAAATTAGTATTTGTTTATGTCGAATATTTTTGGAACAGATGTAGAATTTCCTCGGAACTAGACCCATTATTCAATGCTGATACTAAGCGTCAATGTTATGTTGATACGTTTTGGTTAATTGCAGGCATTCCTTTGCAACGATGTCATTCATTGCAGAGACGTTCATATTTCTATATGTTGGAATGGATGCTCTGGATTTCGAAAAATGGAAGATGATGCAATCCAGGTAATAATTCGGACACTTTACTGGTCGGCCTTGATCTTTGGCGTTTCTGTCCCTTTTGTCGTGGAAGTTAAAGTTTTGGCTCAAGTTGGTGTTTTTTGAATGAAGAAGATTGATTTTTTCTTCTCTTATCCATGCTTAAAATATTTATTAGAACATTTATCTTTCGTTTTTCTAGTTTTGGTTATACGTTTGTATGTTTTTCCATATCTTAGTGGCGCCCATGATTTTTTTTTTTTTTTTTTTTTTTTTTTTTTTTTTTGAAATGCGGAGAAGTTTTGTGGTTGACAGTTTCACGGAATCTGCGGGGCTATTTGGTAGCTTGTTGTTTCTGGTCCTGTTAGGGAGGGCCGCATTTGTGTTCCCACTCTCTGCTTTGTCCAACTACAGCACAAAGTCTCCAGACGCGAAGATTAATTTACGCCAAATGGTTCGTTTCAGTCATTTCCTCATATTCTCATTATCTGAATTGTGGATGACTTTAACCCAATCCATTTAGTTAATTATTTTATTTTTCTTTATTTTTTCCTCTTGTGTGTGTAAATATGTTAGCATATGTCTGGATTAAAATCAACATCAAATGAAAAATCGAGAGTATACAGATTCTCGGAATATGTCTTCAAATGCAGTGTACATTGAAGATTCTGGATAGTGTGTCAATTTAATTCATTGGGATTTCCTAATTTCGACAGGTTATTATCTGGTGGGCTGGACTAATGCGAGGTGCTGTCTCAATAGCACTGGCGTTCAACCAGGTGACTTTCTTATTTTCACTTAAACCATATCTTTCGACCCTTAAGTTGTGAAATGTATTAGTAATGCCTATGAGCTTATCTTTCTTGTGTAAAGAACTTAGCAAGTACTTAGAGGCTATGTTCCAATAAGTGAGGTTTTCTTGTCTGAAGTTCACTCAGGGTGGTGATGCAAAGGACTCAAACCAAGCCACGCTAATGGTCATTACTATCATCATTGTCCTCTTCAGCACTATTGTAAGTGACTAAATGGATTCCTTTATTGGTTAAACTATATGTGTTTATTTCCTGAAACAATCCCTTTCAGTGTGCAGATTTGTTGTCACCTCACCATAGTCATATTCCTGATCCTATGAGATATATGCAGGTGTTCGGCACTGCAACCAAGCCTCTTATTAGCTGGCTACTTCCACCTCATTTCAGATCAAATTACAGTGATTCAGCCAGTCTCTCCCCAAAAGCGTCTCTTGATGCTGACTTTCATATACCACTCCTTATGGATACAGAGCGTGAAGAATTAGAAGCAAATGATCGATCTACGATAAATCAAATCCTAAATGGTCTTCCTCGTCCTCAGTCAATAGGCATGCTGCTGACTGCACCAAGATCAACCATCCACCATGTATGGAGAAAATTTGATGATTCTTACATGCGGCCCACGTTTGGTGGGAGAGGATATGTTAGGTTGGTGTCACGGCGTGATATGGACATACAAGAAGATGAAATCCTTGAAGATCACAGTTGAATCAAGTTAGTGGCTACTGTACCTGTAATATCATCCGTCTTTGTGGACAGGAGACTGGTTGATGAATACAAAGCTTATGAACAGGGAGTAGTAAGTATCCTTCTCTGTAATTTTTAAGCAAGAAACGCTTTGATGTCCTTCATACAAAGACGAGTTGTACTTGAGTTGATCAGAGTTTAACATTTTTAGTTGAACCATCCACGGAATCTTAAGTTCTTCTGCTGAAAATTCTAGATTTGAAGTATGAGGAAGGCCAGGGCCAAATTTGATAGTCAATCCTGATCTGTATTGTATTTACACAAGTATCACGTATTTATTTGAGGAACTATGTCCTCATGTTTCGATAGGTGCTGAATCTTCAGATCCTGGTTCCCTTGATTGCTTTGTGATTGCTACCCGAACCATGGTTTTTGCTGAGGCTTTGCACTGCATGTGGCTGTTACAGTAGTCTTTGTGACAGGACTGCACATGATCTTTATTCTAACGCTACATATCTTGCAGATAACAGGTATTGTGCCAAAATTGAGTATGAAATCAGCTTGATCAAATTCAACAAACAATGTAGGTAAATTGGATGTAACAATAATAAAACCATAAATTGCACAAGATTACCATTGCAGTAAATCATACTTCCATGATGATTGAAGTCTATTACACACAAGTATGCATATACAATGTAGGTTAAAATGTAGGTCCAAAACTCAGTTTTGCTCACATTAGTTGAAACAAATTTTTAAATTTGTCCACCTGTCCACCAGCAGCTATCACAACTCTAATGCACCTATGCATGCTTCTATACAAATTCTTACACTCATTGAGAATGATTGAAGCCCAACAATCTTCAATATGCTCCTATATTTCTAGCATTTTTTTTTGAAGGTGTTTCATATTGGTTCAATTGACATTTTAAAGTTGCCTACAAGTATTTGATTGGATTTAAGTCTGGAGATTGTGCCAGCCACTTCAAAAGAGTAAATTCTTGCAAATTGAGCTAACAATGCACACTCTTGGACATATGCTTGGGATCATTATTGTATTGAAGAATCAAACTTGTATGCATGTACTATATGTATCAATTCTTTCTCTAAAATCTCTCTATACATGTATTGATCCATTCTTCCTTCAATCCTACACATCATACCAAGGTCATTTGGAGTCATGCAATCCACATAATCACTCCATGTCTAAATTTGATTGTTTGTTGTACTATTCTAGCATTTGTACTCTATCTGTTACAAAACCAACACCAATTACAACCATTAGTGCAAGTGATTGACTTTTGTTTTATTGAAGAATATTATATGATTTTAATCAATTCACTACGAAAGATAATTATTTAATTAATTCACAACAAAAGATAACTATGTGCCAATAAATCATAGAGTATAAGATTAGTGGAATACCAACTCAAATAAGAAAGATTGTGAATCATAAGTTCAATACTTATATTTAATTATATATATTACAAATCTTATTATATTTTTATTTATAGACATTTTATTTATTTATATTTATATTTGGATAGTTTCTTGCACCATTAACACGAGCCACATTTCTCAATGGAATTTAACTACCACCTTTTGTAGTTATCAAGTTTATTTTCAAATATAGATTTAATATTTAAATTCATCTATTAGCAATTTGTTCTATACTTTGGTTGACACTAGTATAAATGATCGAATGTATATGCATAAAAGTTTTATAAAATACTATTTCTATGTTTATTCCAATTTAATCAAAGATTTAATTGTATGTTTTTTGTAGACTAGGTTGGGTGGTTGAGGAAATTGTGTTCTGTAATCACCTTAGATGTTAATCTCTTGATAATTCTATATACTATATTTTTATTGAGTTTTGCAAAATTTATATAGGCTAATCAATCTCTTTGTTGCTACTTACAAAAAATATTAACTATAGATGTAAGATTTGAATCACTTGTTGGATTTTCTCATTTATGACAAAACAACATTTTAATATTTGATTTTGAAGAAACAATTGTGCAAGTAAAATTAAAATATTTTTACAATATAATAAATCTTGATAATTTAAGAAGATTTTAGCAAATAATAGAAACATGTTTTTATAGTCTTTTGAGTCAAAGTTATACTTTAGCTACCATCATGCATACAAATTTGTAAATATGTGACATTCATAAAAATATGACTTTTTGGATTTTAAAAATTCTTAAAATTAGTTAGTAAAAATTTAATGCTATATATTTTAAGGTACTAACATATAATTTAGCAAATTAACTTATATTAAGTGAAGTGCAAGATAGAATGTATATATAATATAAGTTTTTAAAATATTTTAACATTTAATTAATCATGCTTTTTAGAGATAAAGATAAAAAGTTCTTTTTTATTTATATATGGCTAAAAATAAAGATACTATATTATTTTTTAACTACCAAAAATATTATATATATATATATATATATATATAATAAAAGAAAGAGAGAGAGAAAAAAAAAGTAAAAAAGAGAGACTTATTAAAGCCACACCTTCTAAACCATGTCATGATTAATTTAGTTTAATGTCACTCTATTCCTTGCAACGTGCTCATGATTATGGCTTGATGTGGATGAACTAGATCATTATCTTCTATAAATGCAAATGACACTCTATCCTTTGTACACAAGCATGTCTTTTATTTGAGACTCTCTTCATAAGTATAGAAGATAAATAGTTAATTGCCTATTTCCTCAATTTTTTGCAAGTCAAGCATTGATGTTTCTTTTAAAGTTGTTGCTATTGTGTATGCAAAGACTCTTTAGGGTAATTCAAGCATATAACTTTATTATTTTTATTAGAAGCTATACTTTAAACTCTAATATAGCTCATATCATTCATCAACTAGATTTGATTTTCATAGTAGCAAGCAATGAGCAAAAAAGAGCAACCCCTATAAATTCTCATTATTAGCAATACATATCTTGCTAGAGCTTAGACCCTCATTTATGTCATAATCCCCTCTTGGGCTTTAAGTGATTTAGTTTTTTAAAGAAAATGCACCTATAATACTTGCTAGAAGAGATCAAGATGATTCACTAATAGCCATGTGTTGTTCAAAGGTTGTATCGGCATTGACACCTGCAATTTTTCTTAAATGATGAACAAGCTACAATTTGTTGGTTGAGATATTATTCTTTATTTTTTGTAGGAACAAAAATATTTCTAATAAAATCTACTAATTTCGAAATGAATTCTTATTTAATTTTCTATCAAAAAATTGATTGAATTGATTAAGGAAGAAGTCAAAAGATTTAGACCTCAATGGGTTTACTAGCAAAAGATTGATACAAGATCAATTTGATTGGTGATTTTGCATATACACCTTGTACCAAATTCTGTTGTATGTTTGGAATTGGAGGGCAAAAGATCATGTCCAGTTTGTGTTTGATTATAATATCATATCACTTTAAGCTTTTATAATGATCATACATGCTTAAGACACAAGCATTGTGTGAAGTGACACAAACACACAAGTGCATTACTTTAATTCCAATTGTTCATATTCTTACATACAGTGTGATGATGTCATAAACCTTCTTATGAAGATGTCTTTTGTCCAAAATTTTTCAACCTTATTAACTTATCTCATCTTGACTTTTGATTGTATTTTATCATAAGACAATTAATAAAAGACTACAGAAAGTATTTTCACCACAAAAGATTTGATAACTGAAATTTCTTTGCATCCTAGTGAATTATATGTATAGATCACTTTTCAAGTATAAAAAAGCTCAATTTGGATCATTAGCATCACAATCAACAAACATTATTATCAATTTTTTTCTACAATATATTTAAAGGCCTTTCATGAAGATTTGAGATACTACATGACCTGGAGTATATTATAAATGCTACCATATGTGACTTATAAATGTTAACTTACTATGTTAAAAAATCAACCTATTTTCTTTGCATAATCCATCAAAAAGAATGTTGTGCATGATAATGCCACAACTCTTTGATTTTTATGCATGGAAAAGAAAAATTCAATAGAAATTTATCCAAAGTAAAATAAAAAAAAAGATTTGTAAAACTAACTCAAAATGGTAAACATAAGCTTCTATTTGATATAATAACTTGTATCCTTTACTAGAAAGAATCACACTATCCAAAATATGAAGTCAATTAGTATTGATGTGAGACAAATCACATAATTTGCATGAAGAAAGAAAATCTTCAAAGTGTTGTTTAGACACATCTAAGTGCTAAATTTTTAATGGTTGTAAAATTTACTTTCTTCAAGAAGTGAGAATAAGCATCTATTGTACTACTTACAACTTCAATATATATATATATATATATATATATATATTTCATTAGTATTGAACAATGCCATCCTATGAGAGTGTAATAAATTGATGATAAAAATCTTGTAATTAGACTTTATATATAAATAAAGAAGCTTATCTTAATAGAGTTCATACACAACCAAGGCCATAATGAGATTTGTCATCTATTTTAAAGCAGAATTCATGTTGTAATTAATTAGTTTTTTAACTTTGAAAGTTTTAATAGAAATTACTATATTAAATAGATTTTATTTATGTTTTGATTTGAGATTTCATAAATCTAAAAACCACAGAGAATGTAATACGTGAAAAAACACATTTGAAGAAAAATATTAGTGTGCATTTATAATTGATAATTAGTTGACCTTTGATTAAATGATTTGAGTTTTTTTTCAAGATTTGTTTCCAAAAAATCATAAACTTTATAACTGCACTTATATATATGTAGCAATTATTCATCCTAAAATATAAACTTTCAAATTTATCATGGAAGACAAACTCTACCTTCTCAAAGTCCAGCACAATCTATGGATTTGAAATACTCATGAAGAGAGTCTTTTATAGAGGAGATGCTTGGACACAAAGGACAGGCTGACTTATGCACTTATAGAGGATGATGATGCAATTCTTCTACATTGAGCCATAGTCATGAATACATCACATAGAGTGGAGTGATATTGGACTAAAATTAACCATCACATAGTTTAAAGGGTGTGTTTTTAAGAATTCCATATATATATATATATTTTTTATATATTATATATAGTTTGTTTTACCAATTTAAAGTCATTTTTATTACTTCAATGAATTATTTTCAAAAAAACATATGTTTTATATAGTCTTTCTATTTGCTTCTTTTAAAGAATCTTTTTTTTGGTGTACCTATTACCAAAATTATATTGTGCTCATAAATAATTATTTGTTGTGGTGACTTAGTCTCCTTGGAATTATATATTTTTTTACCTTGATTTGTGGATAGTTTTTTTATTTATTGATGTTATTATAATTAAAAATAAATAAATAAATAAATATAAATTTTTATTTTAAGTGGG